CCACTATGTGGATGCCACACCCTGGCCAGCTTCGTTTGAGAGCCGGATCTTCTAGAGAAGCTATCTAATGAATACATTTGTGTACCTTAGTAAAATAAATATCGTCAGAACTTTGTTCATCAGATATGAAAAAATATATTAATTGATAAGCGTCACTTATAGCTAATAGGTTTTATTGGACTATTGATTTATCAATAATTAATAATTACTAATCCCCTAAGCTATGCGGCCAATATCAAAGTGTTGCGATTGCACAAGTTGGCCAATCTAAAGTTACATAAGGCCTACATGTAGAATGAGTTTTCTACATGATATCGACGTAGAAATGAGGAATGCCGAATATTCTACCAAGAAGAGTGTGTGTACTCTCGGTGTCCGTAAAATAAATGACCAAAATTCGTATTGACTCGAATTTTACGACACCGTCGGGGAATAATCGGCAATATACTAATACTAATTTATGGTGCAAAATTAAGCCAGTTGGCCAGTGCCACACGCAAAAATATAAATGGCGAAATCGCCCATCGCCCCCAAATGAGAGAATTTTTCATAACGTCCATTCACGGAAAGTGTGATGCAGACTGATTTTGGATTGTCAGATTAGGATTTGGTAATTTAATATGTTCGAATGCTTATCAGCATGAATAGTTAAGCATTTCCGATGGATTATCTAAAAGGTAAATACAAATTTAATAAACGTGGGACCAAATGTTCACAGTAGTATATTATGAGCGGTTCTTTACTCGTAATACGTCCTGCTAAGACATATTTATTAGTATTTAGCCCCGCTATAAAAAACCTAAGGTAATAAGAAACAACCAGTGCCAGACAGGCATTGTTATCTTACCCGAAAATCTAATATACAGCGCTAAAAAAATGTTATAAATTTATTTTGGGTCCGTGGGGTTTACCACCAAGTCATTTAATTCATTAATTTTAATACCATTTGTTGCATTGTTACTAAGTTATTGCTGTTACTCAAATTTTATATGAAAATTGTGGCATTACTAATAAATTCGTAATTATATTTACACGTTTAGAATTTATGTGATCCGATAAGACGGTCGTATTGCCCAAATTAGCGAGAGCAAGCAATCTAAATTATTTTATGTAGGTTTTATGTAGATTTTTTAGATTTTGGACCCCACAGAAAGATCCCCGCAGAACGTGAGTCCTAATCGGCTTAACAACGGGGTCCATAAAAAAGTTATAAAGAGAAAATGCTTCTGGTATCGCCTATCGCTGGATGTAATCGTTTTATGCGCCGAAATCGACGATTACAATCATAATATTTAATTATTATCGCTGCCATGGAGGCGATAAGAGTTCCACGGCGCTGGACCTGGGCCCTACTTAATTCTTGGGAACCAGCCTGGATCGTCTTAGTTGCCCAACGGCTGGGCTCTGGTGCGGTTGTATTTTAAAGTTTGTGATTCCGGTGCGAGTCGCGTGCGATCTGAAGGTTAGTGCCCAGGCCTTACCATATTTCAGCGGACTTGGCTGATTAAGATCGCATAGTGTCCTCAAAGTGGTTGCGTTCCTTTCAAATATAAGGCTTGCTGTGGAAAATGTAAAGTCATGTCTGGTGATAAGCTTGCGAAAAGAAGGGATCCCTTTCGAAGTGAACAAAATGTGCCGTATCCATGGGCGATAAGAAAGTTTATATCGGCCATAAAATAGGACCTACTCTTGTTATCGTTTGCTGTTTTTAGAACAAGTTTTTGTGGCATTTCAAATTTTGGAGACCATAAAGTTAAGTGCCTTGTAGGGTGCTAATGGCTTTACGACCTTTCTACACTCTCCAATTGCAGCAATTTATGATATTCTGAAAACTTTATGGCTTCCATTCGTCCGATCGAAAGACTTCGATTCGCAACCACTCATATAGCATGAGATAATAAATTATTCCCAGTGCAATACGCGCAGATCGTTTTGTTCAGTGCCTACAAGTATGCAACGTTTTCTTGTTAGTTGGCTAGGTTTTCTTTCCAGTTGAACGACGTATAACTTTCGGATTTCATCTTCCAGATGTCTTTCTCAATCCTTGACATTACAGAGGAGAAGGATGGCGGCAAGGCCAGGAATAAGAAGTGGCCTTGGTTCGGGGCACCCATTTACGCGGCTGCCGCCTTTGCTCTGTTCTATGCCGCCGTACTGCCCAGTTTCCACAGCTACCCGAAGATGCTGTACCAGAGTGAGGAGGCACTGCATCCGGATGAGTTTATCGGCGAGCGGGCAATGCGCCAGTTGGCCGAGTACTCGGCGATTGGCAACAAGATGAGTGGCTCCATCAACAACGAGGTGCACACGATCAATTTCCTGCTGCGGGAGATCCAGAAGATTAAGGACGAGGCCCGATTGGATCTCTATGACATTGAAGTGGACACGCAGTACTCTTCGGGTGGCTTCCACTTGTGGGGCATGACCATTTCCTACACCAATCTCTCTAACGTGGTAGTAAAAATATCCCAGAAGAGTTCGGACAACGAGAACTATCTGCTGGTCAACTCCCACTACGATTCGGAGGTCGAAACCCCTGCCGCTGGAGATGATGGCGTCATGGTGGTTGTCATGCTGGAGACCCTGCGCGTAATCTCGCGCTCCGAAAAAACCCTAACCCATCCCGTGGTTTTCCTCTTCAATGGTGCCGAGGAGGCTTGCATGCTCGGCTCCCACGGATTTATCACACAGCACAAATGGTCCAAGAAATGCAAGTAAGTTTTCTATAACTTCCAAGAGTGGAATACCCAAATCACGCATCCATTTCCACGCTACAAATGTCAGAGCTTTGGTGAACCTGGACTCGACTGGAGCCGGTGGTCGTGAGGTGCTCTTCCAGACGGGTCCCAACCACCCGTGGTTGGCGAAGTACTACCAAGCAAGTGTACCGCATCCATATGCCCAGACCCTCGCCGAAGAGCTGTTCCAGCATAACTTCATTCCCTCGGACACCGATTTCCGCATCTTCCGGGATTACGGAGGCGTGCCTGGCCTGGACATGGCCAGTGTGATGAATGGATATGTGTACCACACCGAGTTTGATAACTTCAAAAACGTGGAGTACGGCACTTACCAGTCGACGGGCGAGAACGTACTGCCCCTGGTTTGGGCTCTGGCCAATGCTCCAGAACTGGACAACACCACGGCGCATGAGAAGGGACACACCGTGTACTACGACTTCCTGGGCTGGTTCATGATGACCTACACGGAAGCCGTGAGCGTAGCCATCAATGTGGTGGTTTCTGTGGCGTCCTTCGTTTGCATCGGCACCTCGGTGTACACCATGACATTGGACAATGGTGCAGATGCTCCGAAGGCGGTGGTGAAGCGATTTGCCATTATCTTCCTGGTTCAAGCCGTAACTCTGTTCGTGGCCTGCGGCTTGACCCTCCTGGTGGCCGTATTCATGCAAGGCGTGGGTCTAGCCGAGTCCTGGTACTACGGAAAATGGATGGCCTTCGGCCTGTACTTCTGCACCTTGTTCTTCGCCTTTGGCATGCTTCCGGCCATCTACATCGGACTAACGAAGAAGAAAACGAACATGAAGTTGGATCAGACCATCGCCTGCTTCATGCACGCCCAGTGCATCCTGCTGGCCCTGCTCTGCATTATCCTGACCATCATGGGCATTCGCTCCAGCTACTTTTTCATGGTGGGCATTTTCTTCTACGCGATTTCCGTCCTGGTGCAAATAGTTCTGAAGCTCACCCTGAAAAGTGAGTATTCTGGCAAGATTTCCTTGACTGATTTTTAAAGGATTTCTTTTTCCCCTTAGAGAGCTACTTCGTGACAGTCCACCTGCTGTTCCAGCTGCTGCCCTTCCTCTTCTACACCTACATCTGCTATGCCACTCTGGTCACCTTTGTACCCATGGAGGGTCGCGATGGCCCCGAAAGTAGTCCCGATGTGATGATATCAGTCTTCATCATTGCAACCGCAATAAACTATGCTGGTTTTGTTGTAAGTTGATTTAACCAACATCTTTGTTTTAAGATATTCTAAGCCTATCTTGCAGATTCCCATCATGCACAAGTTCCGGAAGCCCAAGATTGTATTCTCATCGTTTGGTGTGATCACAATTGTTTTCATCATCTTGGCCTGCACATCCGCCGGTTTTCCATTTGTGAAGCAACTGGCGCCTCAGCGTTATTATGTGCTGGTAGGTTCCTTAACCCATTTAAAGATACATTTATGTAACTTAGAATTTACTTTTGCCTGCAGCACACTCAACGAACATTCCACAACTTGGATGGTACTAGTAAGCAGGACTCGGGCTACTACATTCAACCCGTGGATACACGACTCCATGAACTGGACGACACTACTTTCAGGAACGCAGAGCCGGAAAGCTGGACGGCAGCCACCTGTGCCGCTGAGCCCTACTGTGGACTTCCGCTGTACAGTGGGCGCTGGATAGAGTGGAAGTGAGTGGGAGCTCTCAACCAGACCTAAGTTGCTAGCTAACCATTTTCCCTTATCACAGAGACTCTGCTCGTTGGATCTACAGCTCGCCACCCGTGATCCCAATGAACATAAGCCTAAGCCTGGTGTCGAAAACTTTCCTGACAGGCAACAAGGTGCGATATGAGTACAACCTGAGGGCCAGCGATCGCGTTATGATGTACATAGATCCGCTGGACAACGTCGAGGTGACAGACTGGTCCTTTGACCACACACCTTTGGTGGAGAAGCACACACCACCCTACCTGATCTATGCCATATACTCCCAAACCGAGGAGCCCCTCAACTTCTGGGTGGAGCTCGAGCACGCGGCGAGCAACACAGAGGGACCCTACATGAAGCTGGTTGTATCCGAGCACTTCCAGTACCATCCGGAGCACTACACCGAGGACTACAAGGAGTTCCTGGCAACCTTTCCCGATTGGACCTATACCACCGATTGGTTCTCGGCCCTCGAGAGCTGGATTGTATAGGCGGCGATGAGAATATAGACTCCAAAGTTGGCGTATCTTAATAAATAATTTATAATATATATTAATAAAATACAAAGTAGTAGCTACAGTGGTCTAATCGTAAATTCTAATACAAGTTAGGACGTGCCATGCGTATCGACACTTTGTTCGTTGGATTAGGTTAAATGGTAGCTGAGGTGTCATGGCAAAATGGGATTGAGTTGAGTTCGTGAAGGAACTTTGAGTCCGCACTTAAAGCTGCCAACTGTTGTAGGATCCAATCCAGGAGCTGACATGCGCCCACGGCGGAAACGTGGCCAGGAACTCCCGGAAGTCTTCCGTAATATACATGTCGTCGTGTATTCGATGACCCATTAGCGCTATTTTGAAAGTGCCACCCGACCAATTTGGGTCATCGTGCTGGAAACAAGTGGTGAGTTAACTATTCCCCTGCCCAATCTATAGATATTATTATTACCTCGAATTCCAGTGAGAACTGCAGGGGCTTGGGATCTAATGCATAGGACCAGTACACATAGTATGGAGGCTCTACACTTGCATCCAGCGGATCTTTGATGAAGGACCAATCCACCAATTTGCTGCCGTTTAAGGGTAGAATGAATATGCTCGTGTGACTTGGCCCTGAGATCTCAAGATCAAATTTGATATTTGTATCCGATCCACTCGATTTATCCAAAATAGTCAGCGTGGGAATGTGATCCCTATTCGGCTCCGGCCCAGGCACAAAATAGCTATTGTCACTGAAAACAGGTAAGACAATAAGTAAAGCTAAGTTATTTGATGTTTTTGCAACCTACACTGCATTTAACCAGCGTGAGCTGTAAATGGGGAATCCGCACATGAGCTCCGAGTCACAGTCGATGCGTTCTGACTTGGTGAAGCTTGTGTTTTCAAAGAGGATGTCATCCACGGTATGGGGACGCCGATCGACCGGAAGGACAAAGTAACCCGAGTCCCTATGACTAACCGTGCTCGCCGCATCGCCATTGTGGAAGGTTCTTGCCGTGTGCTGTTAGGGAACATCATATTTAGGAACTAGAATGCATAGGTTATAAGCAACAGACATACCACAGCGAAGAATCTTTGGGGAGCCGTCTTCTCGGCGTATGGAAAGGCAATCGGTGTGGCGGCAAATATAATAAACACTATCGTACAGATGCCAAACATTGAGATAATGGTCTTCGACTTGCGGAACAGGCAGAACAGCGGCACCAGGAAGGGTGCAAATAGCAGAACCATCAGGGCCGTAAAGAAACCCATCAAAATCTCCGGATTGGTATTGCACTCGCGTCCCTGCATGGGCACAAAAACCACGTAGAAGGCATAGCAGCAGTACGTATAGAACATGAAGGGCAGCACCTGGCAAATGCAGTGCGGTATGAGCCACAGGAAGTCTGAAAGACAGTGCAAAAGTACTTTAAGTAATGCAAAACATAGCCAAGGTAGTTGGACTTACTGGTTCTGTGTGCCTTGGTAACCAAATTGATCAGCACGGACAGAGTGTAGAAGCCGATGCAGAGCATTATGACAAAGGCGGAACGAATGCTGTAGCTCACCATTATGGCGGTGATAATGGTCAAGATCAGGCAATGCGAATGCATCAATAGCTGGATGCCATAGCCCAGGGGTAGGCCATGCTGGAAGGAAAAAAAGCGTTAAGATCTTGATTAAGTACATTGACACTATGTCGACTCACCTCTTTAGTTCGACTAAAGTAAATACCTGGCACAATGCCCATGCCGAAGATCATGGGGCAAAAGTACAAGCCAAAGAGCATCCAGTTCTGCGAGAACCAGGACATCGGTAGATTGACCGCGTCCAGGAACAGCGCTATCGATAGGACCAGACCAATGCCCAGAGCAACTCCGGCCACCTGGAGAGCGGCCAGGATGCCAAACTTCGCCCAGATCCGACGGCGAAACATGCCCGTGCTGCTGGACATCATCCAGATGTACAAAACGATGGTGACGCAGACCAGGACACACACGGTAATGTTGATGATGATACCCATGGTCTCCGGATAGTAGACAAAGAACCAGCCCATCATGTCGAAGAATATCATGTGTCCCTCGGCGTATTTCTAAATGGAGTAGATTCCGGTTTCAAACGTATGCCATTTACAAGTCTTTCGTGGAACCCACCGATGGATTCTCCAGTTCCTCTGCGTTGGCCAGAGCCTTGACCAGAGCCAAAATATTTTCGCCAGTCAGCTGGTAAGTGCGCCGCGGGATGAGATTAAAGCGATCATATTTGGTATGGTACACATAGCCATTCAAAGTCTGCGCCATATCGAGACCTGCCGACCCAAAAGTCTTGGTGATTAGCCACATTTTCGTACTTCACTTTATATTACCGGGTATATGGCCGAAATCGCGGAACACGCGATAATCGGTCTCTGAGGGAACAAAGCCATTCTGGAACAATTCCTCTCCGATAGTGGAGGCAAACGGATGAACTATGTTTTTGCCGTAGTACTTGACAGAAATAGAAACAAGATTAACAAGTATCCAACGTGTAGGAACTAATGGGAGAGCTACCTTCATCAGCCAAGGATGATCGGGTCCGGATTGAAATAGAATTTCTCGTCCTCCACTGCCGGCCGAGTCCAAGTTGATGACCGCTCTAAAAAATATTACAGTTTATTTAGTACCGAATATATTTTTATATCTAAATCCTAAACGTTTTGTACAAGGACTCGACTCACTTGACGTTTTGGGCCCAAGGATGCTGGGTGATGAATGCGTGGCTGCCCTGCAGTGGATTCTCCTCAGCTCCGTTGAAGAGGAACACAACCGAGTAGGTGAGTGGGGTCTCGTACTTGGTGATGACCCGGAGAACCTCCAGCATAATCACACACATCATTCCGGCGTCGCCGGCACCCGAGCTTCCCGGCACGGAATCGAAGTGGGAATTGATCAGCAGAGCGGCTTCACTGGTGGCATTCTTCGGCGACAGCTTGACCACCACATTCTGGATGCTCTGATAGACATTGACCATGGACCAGAGCAGATAGTTACCGGACGCAACCTGGACCGTCTTCTCGATATCGTAGAGATCCGTTCGCGCATCGTCGATGATGTCACCTATCTCGCTGAGCAGAAACTGCACGGCCACCTGTTCGTTGGCCGCACTGCCCACGACCTTGGGTCCGATCTTGGAGAGCCTGAGCAGGGTGTTCTCCGCCCGCTCCCCGATGAACTGACCCGGCTGCTGGCGCTCATCCTCGAGCGTCTTCAGCCTCGGCATGCGATGGAAACTGGGTATTACCACCAGGTAGAAGAGCAGAAACCAGCAGGACACGAACAGAGGAGCCCAGTACCAGCCGATCTTGCTGCGATTGTAGATGATCTTCATGTTTTCGTACTTTGATTTCATTGTGGCCTGAAAGGGGACGAGCATAGCCACATTATTGGTCACCAAGCTGAGCATTAAGAGTGCCGGAGTCATCAACCCCCACTAATTAAGCTCAATTGTCGAATTCCAATTGTGACGCATTCGGCTGATAAAGCTCTGCAGATATGTGACGCCTCACCACGGCTAATCGCCTCCATTTCTCTGGTGCGGTGGGGAAAGGGTTGGCTTAATGCAGCCACTTGAGCGTGGAGCATCGATTAAATAATTAGGGGTCGTGATAAGCCAGTGCGAGCGACTTAGAGCTGTCAGCAGGACGGATGCCAAGCGTTCAATATTCCATTGAAATCAATCAGAAAATATGTTGATAGCGCAAACGTGAATGAGGTTCTTGTCTCGTGAATACTCCACATTATCGAATCACAGCAGTGATTATTCAAAGCATCTGCCATAGATAATACTTATCGGGTATGCGGAGTGTCAAGTGGGCAGGAAATGAAGTAGGCTGCAGAAACTTAAGTGCTCACAAGCTTTTGTAATTTATATTTGGGGAATTGGTTGGCGTGGAGATGCTTTTCATTGCGCGTAGATACAATCCGTACCAAATTTCAGAGCGGAAAACATGTGTTCACCATTTGGCTGTTTGGGTGAAAAGTATCGACAAACGCAAATTAGCCAACGACATTGAAATAATGCAGCTTTAGCCAAATAAACAATGAGTCCATATTTATACTCGGCGTTTGGGGATCTAACAATATTATTCGCATAGGCATTCTGAGCAAATCAACATTGGAATGAGACACATTTTGTAATTTTTCGGGCGGTATTTCATGCTTATTTATAGCCAACTGGGCTATACTACATATATTATCGTTTAATGTTCACACATGTGAAGCGGCTGCGTTTTTGTGTGGGAAATATTTAATAACAAATTTGTGTTTGTTGCCTGTGCCGCTGTGGAAATACACTATTGTTGTTTCGGATGTTGTTAAATCGAAAGTGATGAATTTCAGGCATTTATCGTCATATCCACATCTGAACAATGCAATAAAAATTTCATTTTCTTTTAATTTAGAAAATCAAATGTATCTGCTTTTCTGCAGGCCTTAGAAGTTTTTAGTATACGCAGCCCACAAAATATTACAAATGTGCCATCACCATTTGAAATGGCCCACTAAACTTTTCAAACATCGCATTTTCCGAGATGAATGTGCACTAAAATAAAAACTGACGCGAGTCTGTCCTAAAAACAGATAGGACCACTGGGTAGAAAAACTACGGGCTACTGAGGCAATTAAGCGAAATGTTTTTATTTTCTCGCTTTTCCGCAAATGAATGCAAAAATACCATTGGGATTACAGTGCAACATCGACATCGACCCATTTTCCACTGACTTCTAGGTGACCCGCGCCGGCGGCAAGAAGACGAGCGGCGATTAAAAGTGAGGCAAGTTGGGAAACCAATGGGATGTGCAGAAGTAATCTCCTCGAAACGCTTATCGATTGAACTAATCACTTTCCACGGCAACGAGAACAACAAACAAACACACAGAGAAAACTCTCTGTGCGGCAGCCACGCCTACTTAATGACCAAAAAATGTGGGGGGAGGTGGAGTGTAGAACTATTTAAAGACAATTTGAATGAGGGGAATTGAAAGAAGTGGAGAATCCAAAACCAAACTTGCGTTGCAGAGGCGTCGGCAATCAACTGTGACAACAACAGCGGGCAAGAAAAGCCGGCTAAAGCAACAAACAAGTCAAAGGTCTGCGGACTATCGGATACCGTGTGCATACCTATAGGCCATAGGTGAAATACTGTAACTTACAACCTATTGTGGTCTAGGCTTTCATCAAGTTCCGTTGGGCAGCACATAATTGTTAGCTTCTTAATCGCGATTTGAGATTGAAGACTGAAAGGTCGTTCTTAGGGTTTAACTGTTGGTGAGAAAATGATCCTATGATCTCTTCTTTCAATCCCATTACACTGCTACTCACAATACAATCCCACAGTATAGAAACAACCTCAACGCGCGACAACAACCGCGTTTGTTTGGACTAAACTCAGGCAGACGCATTGGAAAAATAAAAGAAGTTGCGACGAAAACAATCAACAGCACAGATACGGATACAAATGCGGATACAGATACAAATGCAGATGCAGACGGCATTCAAACATAAACACACATAGAACGCGACACGCTGCAAGGGCTTGAGTCAATAACCTGCTGAGGAAAGGAAGTTGCGGCTGCACTTGCGGTTGTTTGTTGAAAGAAAGGCCCCAGATGAAGCAGAAGAAGAAGACGCAGAAGAAGAAGAGCTACAGAATGCTGGTCTCCACGGCAAAGAAGCCTGGCAACTGTTGTTGTTACCTTTCGGCCCGCTGCAAGAATCTTCCGTCTGTGCGAAGACGATCACTTGCACCGTAGAATCGCCGGCACAATTAGTTGGCACTCGCGTTGTCTTATTAGCACATATGTATGACCGAAAATAAACTGAAACTAGTGGGCGAGTGGAAGGCGAGTCCAATTGGAAAGGCGCTCGCTTCTTGGCCGCTGGCGATCAGCTGATTGGAGGCGGGGAGTACGACTGTCCCCTTCGACGGTTGGCGTTCGTCTGCGGCTGCGGCTGCGGCTGCTGCACTGCGCCGCTCACTTGGCGACAGAGCTCTCTGGCCCCTCTCTTGCTCCGGCAGGAGGTTGGGGTCACCAGGGGAGCTACTCTCTTTCATTTCGGTTCGCTCGCACTCGCGTTGTCGCCTGATATTTGGTGTTAAAACAATCCAGATGCCAAACGGCATCGGAATCCGTGGTAAGCATTCTAGCGTAGCATTACTCCTTTGGCCACAAATCGGGGTCACCAAGGCTGCGCCTTTTCCTGCTCTCTTTCACTCTTACTCTCTCTTCAAACACTGCAATCTTGTGCAAAGATATCCTTTCTTTCGCTCTCCTCCACTCACTTGTAACTGCGGTTGCTTGTTTAGTGACTAGTTATACGTACGAAATCTTCTGGTAACCGTACTACCGTAATGGAACCGCTGGCCGAACGGAGGCAACTAAAACGCCGGACAATGCTACTGGCAGTTTTATACGTGCGGGATTTGTTGCGGATTCCGGTGCTCAGGGCTCAAGAGCCGCCGGGCTTATCACAAGTATCGAGTTATCAATGGCGGACCTAATCACTAATCACTAATTTGACAGGTACAACTGGACCGGTGGGGTGTGCCGAGCTCGGCGGAGGACCATCGCCTGTTTCATCCGTATACGCATAGCGATTACACTCGTAATTGCCTGCAATCGAGGTAAAGTGCAGGCGATTAGTGGGCTCCCTGTGATTTCACGGATTCCGCGCAACCAATTTGAAGTTGCGAAAAGTGACAGTGGTTTGGAGATAAGGATTTGCCAGACAAACGACACTTGAGACGATTTCCCCCTTAGTCGACAAAAATCGTTTGCTTGGTTGCCAAATTTGTTTATATTTGCCCCACGGATAAGAATCGCGTCTATGTAAGCTAAGCAATTTGAAATTACACAAAAGAAACGAATTCTCAGATACGAATAAATGGAAATATGGCTGATAGGAATAAGGTTGCAGCACATGGATGTTTGTTAAGAATTGATACCCTTCAAGTTTCCTGGAAACTTGTTATAGGGAAGCAATATAAACAGTTGGGAAATACACATTATAATTAAGTTGAGTGTAGAATACGTGCTGGGAGCTAGGTGATGGTATCAGTTTGGGTGACTATGGTAAAATAACTTTGCAAAGTTGTTTCTATCAATATATTTTCTATCTACAATAATGTTGGATAATCTTAGCAATAAGGAATTACACGCGAACACTTTTGAACTTATTTTTGGATTGATAAGGGGCATAACAACAACTGGAATTCCTATGAGCTTTATTGCACCATTCTTATTACTTTGTCAGCGACTAATTGGGGGTTTACAAGTTTAATTGCCTCTATCATAGTGTACCTAGAAATGAACAGTAATGGAATTTAAAGCTATTTTGCCGCTTGTTTTCAAGATATACCTTTGAAAACAGATCGGCTTGGGCGTATTCAAATAATTTCTCGTCCGATGTAAACTAATCATATGTTAATTACACATTTCAAAATGCTGGCGCGGGAAATCTCGAAAGTTTCTTTGTGGAATTCGTGGGTGTTCAGATACATTCAAAACTGGAGATACAGGTACAGATAGGTAGCTCAGTTCTTCGTTCAGTCGAGCGAGAAAACGGTTGACATAATTTGATAGCCGCCCACCAGTTTCCCAGCTATCGAATCCACTCGGGCGGAACAACCTGCAGCGACAATTCAATAGACAGGTGAATCTGAAATACATGCGAAAGCAATTCAAATACGTAAACAATCTGTTAATCAAGCGAAATCAGCGGAACCCAAAACCCTGAAGAGGACCTGGTGCTGTGGGCAAAAGCGAGACAGAATCTGCAGCAGACAAAGGCGGAATGACACATAAACGAAAATGGAATGAAATCGGCGACAATCGTACAACTGCCGGGCACAAATTAATTAGTAAACTCTGTTGAAAAAGGCGCAACAAGTGGGGCTGGAATTCGGATTGCCAATGGGTATCTGGGTGTACCCGGGAGATGCAAGCTAATGCCAGTCAGTCAGAGGTAACGCCAGTGAGTAGTCACATCTCGAGGTTACGGAAGCAGTACGATATACTCGTACCATTCGGTTTCGCTATCCTAAACTTTATGGACATCGTTTGACATCTAATTCGCAAGTGCCGCCGAACCGAGTATCTGAACTATTGGTTTCTGCACCCTTTACGATACAACTGGACAAGCTCGATTCGCCATAAAGATAAAAATTGGTTAGCGAATTGCTGGTGAAATCTAATAAAATACCCGCCCATTTTCCCCAGAAGTACTACTCGTTTATCGTGCAGCTGCTCCGATATCAAAGAATCACCATTACCACCGATATTTCCTCCATCGTTGGCGAATTCCCAGACCTCCAATGCCGCTGGGCCTCATATATCTTTAGGGGACCCGAGCGACTGGTACCTCAATTGGCACTGGAAAGTTGAGGTCCCCGTTTGCGGGAGAACCAAAGGATTGAAAAAGCGGAGCGGTCCGTTAGTGTTTCCTGGCGTTTTCTGGAGTCCTTTCGAAGGATATAAGACTGTGATATTCGAAGTACCAGTGCTAAAATTCCTGTGACAAAATGAGTGTACGTATGGCAAGTGAATGTGGTGAAACATTAAATTACAATTTCATGAAGGGCAATGAAAGGATATTGCTAATATACCAAGAAAGAAAGCTCTACTGCAATTAAAAAATTAACATTATTCAGTTTATGACACCAATCCAACCGAAACAACTTTAAGAATGTGAATTTAAGCACCTGCAATCAACGAATTTAAAAAATCTACCAAGTTTCTTCGTGGAACTCGTGGGTGTTTAGATACATTCACAACTGGAGATACAGATAGGTGGCTTAATTCTTCGTTCTATACGGACTATACGATTTGTGAAGTGCACTGAAACATGTTAAATGCCAGGACACCAGTACAATCCACAATCAATGTGCAAAGTTTAGCCAAAGTCAACTGGAAAAGAATTAAAATAAAAAGCAATAAAGATAGGAGACCGATTAAAACATGACTAACTTCAAAAAGGCCGCAGTATTGCAGAAATTGCGAATTTCGCAGCATGTCAGAGCGATAAAGGTGCTGTTACCCATTAATTGGGGCATTATCGCTTTATGGCTGCAAGTTCGGCGGCTTTATGGCCTCCACAATCTCCAAGTGACCACACGCCCGTGAATCATGAGTTTAACACGCGACGAAAGCACGATTTCTCAAGTCGTGCATTGTTTACTGGGGAAATCAAAAGAGAAAATTAAGGAATCATGGCCGTGAAGAGTCTTATCGATTAATACGGATTACGAGGCAGTAAGAGTTTATATTCCGGCTGATACTCTCGGCACTTCTCCGTCAGTATCGCCACTGGATTCGGTTTGCATAGAAGTCTGCGGATTGTTCCAGACCCAAAGTTTGCCAAAAAAGCTATAAGTTGCCGGGACTTTTTAGCTGCTCTTAGACAGGCGGCTGCCAGACCAAGATTAGATATTGGTGGGCCATAAAGCTTAGCCAATTTTGGGCAATCTCAAAACTTATCCCCATGAAATCGCACCTGTAGTTAGTAGCACAAATATTTGAATACACTCGTATTACTGACGATCTAGCACAATCTTAATTTTCAAAATTACTTGCAGTTCAACTCCAAGTATCACATCGATGTGGACTTCGAGGTGCCCAAGAAGCTGCAATGGTACTACGCTCCCGCCTTCTTCGGCTTTTGGCTTGTGCTCTACCTCTCGCTGGTCAACACCCAGATGAACCACATGCCCCGCCCACTGACGCGCAGCGATGAAGCCAGTCATCCCGATTCCTTCATTGCACAGCGGGCCGAGGACACCCTGATCGAGCTGACCAGGATTGGACCACGAGTGGTGGGCAGTATGGCCAACGAGGAGACTGCCGTGGAGTTCCTGCGCGCCGAGGTGGCCAAAGTGGAGGCCGAGATGAGCGAACTCCTCGAGATCGAAGTGGACGTGCAGCAGGCCAGTGGAGCGTACATGCACTGGGAGATGGTCAACATGTACCAGGGCATCCAGAATGTGGTGGTGAAGCTCTCGGAGAAGAACTCGACCAACGAGAACTACCTGCTCATCAACAGCCACTACGATTCGGTGCCCGGAAGTCCAGGCGCTGGCGACGATGGTTCCATGGTCGTGACCATGCTGGAGGTGATGCGTGTGATAGCCAAATCGGGTGATCCACTGGCCCATCCCATTGTCTTCCTGTTCAATGGAGCTGAGGAGAATCCCCTCCAAGCATCACACGCCTTCATCACCCAACACAAATGGGCCAAGAACTGCAAGTGAGTGTGTCCTTCATCCTATTGTAGTATAAATTTGCTATTAAATGGTGCCCTTCACAGAGCTCTCATCAACTTGGACTCGGCCGGCTCTGGTGGCCGGGAGATTCTGTTCCAGTCGGGCCCAAATCATCCGTGGCTGATGAACTACTATCGGAATGTCCCCCATCCTTTCGCCAACACTCTGGCCGAGGAGCTCTTTCAGGCTGGCTACATACCCTCGGACACGGACTTTCGCATCTTTCGTGACTACGGAGGTGTTCCCGGCCTGGACATGGCGTACATCTTCAATGGCTACGTGTACCACACCAAATACGACAGGATCAACGCATTTCCACGCGCCTCCTTCCAGCACACTGGTGATAATGTCCTATCATTGGCCAGAGCGCTGGCCAATGCTCCGGAATTGGATAATACGGGCGTAAGTCTGCAGGAGCTGCATCAGAAGGCTGTAGCTAATCACAATCCAATTGCAGGCCCACTCCGAGGGACACAATATATTCTACGACTTTCTTGGCTGGTTCATGATCTTCTACACGGAGACGACGAGCATTATTGTGAATGTGGTGGTCACATTGCTGGCTCTCCTGGGAATCGGCATATCCATCTACTACATGTGTCTTCGCTCCGGATGCAGCTGGAAGGGTGTCCTCCTGCGGTTTTCCCTCACCATTGCCATTCAGTTTGTCTCCCTGCTCTTGGCCATTGGTCTAGCAATGCTGGTGGCTCTCTTCATGGATGCCGTTGATCGTTCGATGTCCTGGTTCACCTCATCGTGGACAATCTTTGGCCTGTACCTGGCGCCCATTGTATTCGGACTGAGCATCCTTCCCGCTCTGTATCTGGAGAAAACCAAGAGGGATCCCCTGGGCCTGGGATTCCGCATCCAGCTCTTCATGCACTCCCACTGCATCTGCCTGATTGCGATAATGCTCACCCTGACTGGACTCAGTATCCGATCGGCCTATCTGATAATGTTGTGTATTCTGTTCGACATCGTGGCGCTAATCATCAACTTGGTTACCAAGTGGCACCGCAAGGGTGAGCCAAAGTTACTGGCTTAGATCCTAATGAGATACTTATTTAATCCAACCATCTTGCAGCCTATTTGTTTGCCATCGCCGTCACAGTTTGCCAGATCCTGCCCTTCGTCTTCTTCACATATCTGTGCACCGTGGCTCTGGTGACCCTGATGCCCATGCAAGGACGTTCGGGATCATCGACAAATCCGGACATGGTCATAGCAGCTCTGGTCTGGTTATTCTCTCTCATGTTTGCCGGTTTCATTGTGGGTTACATACCAATACATTTTCTAAGCTTTATACTAATTATTTATAAATTAGGCCCCCATTATCATGTTCTTCCGCAAAACGAGAACGATAGTCCTGTGCTTCCTGGGAATAACCATTCTGTTCATCATTATTGCTGTCACCAACGCAGGATTCCCCTACAAGGAGAAAACTTCCCCACAGCGTTACTCCTTGATCGTAGGTTTAACTTTGGTAAACTGTTTATTAATTAGTAATTATTTAAATATTGCATTTGAAGCATGCCCATCGTCGTTTGCATAATGCGGACGGCAGTGCTCGTATAGATGAGTCTGGACTGTATATTTATCCGCAGGACCGTCGTTTTGAGATTGCTCGAGGTAAGCCTGCGACGAAGTGGTTAGATTTCGATTATAAATAAGCAAATTAAATTGCATTTTTAGATGAAATTGACGCCATTGGAGAGGCGCACAAAGTGAGCGACTTTTGCGATGAGGAAATGTTTTGCGGCATGCCGCTTTACAATCACCGATGGAACAAGGCCCGGCAGTACAGCATGTGGATCGAAACGTCGGAGTCGCCAGAGATACCCACCGAATATCCATTGCTGGTCCTGCAGGACTCCAGCGAGCTGGAGACTCCCGCGCAGCGGAGGTTCAACTTCAGCGTGGCAGGACCCTCGCACATGGGCATATTCATCAATGTGAAAAACGATGCCAGGATACTGAACTGGTCCTTCAATGACACGCTCATACGGGAGCAGGCGGAACCGCCGTACATGGTGTACTTCTCCTACGGACTGGACGACAGTCCTCTGGAATTCACCATCGATGTGGAGGTAAGCGTGCTAGCTTCTGGAATCAGTTAATTACCCAGAGGTAACAGCAAGTTAATTGCTTATTTGCAGAAGACGACCTCGTCGTTTGACATGCCGACCCTAGAGATTGGCATTGGGGGTCACTGGGTGACCCAGGACATCACCGCTATCGAAAAGCTGAGCAGCTACATCAATCGATTTCCGTCGTATGCCTATATTCAGGGATGGGTTGGAACCTACGAGACCTGGTACTTCTAGGGCAATACGAACATGATATTGCTACTGATTTACTAATTGTAGTCATTAAGCGTTAACCATTAAATGTATAGAATCTGATACAAAATACATATTTTATTAAACTACATTACGAATACTATAATTACAATAGAGAACCTTGGTTTTTCCTTATCATTGCTCCAAAAGTTTGCTTTGCATAAATAAAACAAGGAATGTGTAAACAATACATGTAGATGTTTAGAGAACTTTTTTCCTATAACAAGCAAATCTTAGGGGACCATTCATTACGTATGTCCGCTCCGGCAACATAAAATCGAAATTCATATTCAATGTAGCATTTGATATTGCTAGAAACAGAGGTCGCTATCTGTTGTTTTTGAAACGGAGAACTAAGTGGGCTCTTTGAATACTTGGACCCGTTATAAGAGATTTTGGAAAGAGATCACTGAAGCGGGAGAATACGGAAATAATCGAAATAATCAGACCAAGATGATGCGCCTGAGGGAAATAGCTTCTCAGTTGAATTGTTTACCTACAGAAGGAATGTGGCAAGCCGTACGTTCCCGCTTCGATTCTTGTAAAAACAAGGTTATTGTATGGTGTATATACTCTAATAGTTGTCTGCATTCCACGCCTAACATTTATTATTAGTAAGCGTTTATTCGAGGTGCGGTCAGCTTCGTTCACCCTTTATTTATTTTAATTTAAAGCTCCAAGAAATCAAAAATAGGTACCTGCACGTTATGTCTACTTGGAAACTGGCAGGCCCATCTATTCCCAATCAACAGCTATTGGGTTGTGGTGGGTCTAGTTTGGGTCTTATCGCGGCGCATGAAGTCAATAATCGTTTACAATCTTAATAGACGTTTATATGATTCTCGTTCAATGATTCTCTACATATTCAAAATCATCATAGCACTTAAATCAGAATATTAGACTTCAATAAAGATAAAACACTATGAAAAAAAACCGCATAGATTATGGACCGTACAATCTATTTGTTTTTACCGAGGGCGGCTTTAAATGTTTTAATTACAAAAGTATTTGCCAAAAGTGACATAAGAAGAATATTTTCTTTCATTCACAGTATTATTTTGGAATCGAATGTATAAGGTGATACTACATTTAATTATATTAAATGAAAATTACCTAACAAAGTACTTTTGAAGTGATGTTTTTATACTCGTTACTCGTAGAGTTAAAGGTATACCAGATTCGTTGACAAGTAGGTAACAGGCAGAAGGAAGCGTTTCCGACCATATAAAGTTTATATATATTCTTGATCAGGATCCACAGCCGAATCGAAGTGGCCAGTTCTGTCTGTCCGTCCGTTTGTCCGTTTGTCCGTTTGTCCGTTTGTCCGTCTGTCCGTATGTCCGTATGAACGCTTCGATCTCAGGAACTATGAAAGCTAAAAGTTGAGAGTAAGCATGCAGATTCCAGAGACATAGACGCATCGCATGATTGTTTCCAATTCTTGCCACGCCTACTCTTAATCCCACAAGGAATAAAGAATTAAGGAAAGGTGAATTAACCTATCCTAACAATTCTCGGCCAGCAAAAACTGGTATTCATCATAAGCCAACCTCGCCAGAATATATCTTTATGAACTTTAACAGTTTATAAGTAATCATTATTTGCCTAAACATGAGCATTGCTCTAATGATAATAAATTCACTTTTATTTTTACGACTTTTAACTGATATCCAATGAATTTTGGGGTATAAAAGACCTTGAGTGCAGCGAAAGTCAGTCAGTTTGATTTTAAGGAGAGAAGTTACTTGAGTTGTTTAAGTTGATCAAAAAAATGGGTGACAAAGACAAACTGGTAATGAGGCAATATTCCACATTATCCTGAATATATTTACCCTTTTGTCCCACAGATTTCTGATGAGCCCATCGAAGATGGCGTTAGTTCGACTTCCTCCAAAAATATCAGGAAGCAGGAGCAAAGCCTACGAGGTCCATGGTACTTAGCCAGTGGTTTTCTGCTGTTTTGGGCGCTGCTGTTCTCGGCTGTGGTATTGCCACTCTTTTATAGCATTCCCAAGGGTTCGACCATTGAGGATGTATCCAAGGGCGTTTTCATCGCCGAGCGTGCTCAGAACAATCTTTACAAACTTGCCGAAATCGGAACCAAAGTGGTGGGCAGTGATAACAATGAGAACAAAACGGTCGACTACCTGATGGGCCTGGTGTCTCAGATACAGGAGAATTGCCTGGACGACTACTTCGACATCGAGGTCGATCTGCAAGAGGTCTCGGGATCCTACATCCATTGGACCATGGTCAACATGTATCAGGGGGTGCAGAACATTGTCATCAAACTGAGTCCCAAGGATACAACGAGCACCACCTACCTGCTTGTGAACAGTCACTTCGATTCCAAGCCGACGAGTCCATCTGCCGGCGATGCTGGCCAGATGGTGGTCGCCATCCTGGAGGTCCTGCAAGTGATGTGCACCACCAAGCAAACCATCAGGCATCCAGTCATCTTCCTGCTGAACGGAGCCGAGGAAAATCCCCTGCAAGCCTCGCATGGCTTCATTACCCAACACAAGTGGGCTAAAAACTGCAAGTAAGCCCATTAGCATATCTATTACCTACATTCTCTGTATCCATATATCTGATGATGTCTTTTCCAGGGTGGTTCTCAATTTGGACGCAGCTGGCAATGGCGGCAGAGATATAGTGTTCCAAACTGGACCTAATAGCCCCTGGCTCGTAGAAGTAACTTTCACTTACCAATTACCTTTCACTCCGAATTAGTTTACTAACGTAGAAACTTTTTACAGACATACAAAAATAGTGCACCACACTACATGGCTACCACAATGGCCGAGGAAATCTTTCAAACGGGTATCCTGCCCTCCGATACTGACTTTGCCATCTTTGTAAAGTATGGAAATCTTATTGGTAAGCATTTGCATTCGTTTGAATAGAATACTTAATAAGGTAACACTTATCTTGAAGGTTTGGACACGGCCAAGTTCATCAACGGTTTCGCCTATCATACGAAGTACGATCAATTCTCTAACATTCCCAGAGGTTCCATACAGAACACGGGCGACAATTTGCTGGGTCTGGTGCGCTCCATAGCCAATTCCACGGAACTGGATAACACAGCGGTAAGATGCCTAACTCCCAATAAGTCATGGTACTAAATCCATATATTTCAGGCTTATGCCACAGGACATGCCATCTTTTTCGATGTCCTGGGACTGTACTTCATAAGCTATACGGAGAGCAATGGTGTGATTCTAAATTATTCCGTGTCCGCAGTAGCACTTGTCCTGATTTTCCTATCCATTTGGCGCACTGCAAGCACCTCCGATGTATCCATTGGATACGTTCTCTGCTGGTTCATCTTGATCCTTGTACTGCAGATCATCGCCTTTGTACTGGGTCTCGGCCTGCCCGTAGTTGTAGCCTATGTGTTCGATATGTACGGACTATCCCTCACTTACTTCAGCACTCCGGCCCTGCTGATCGGCCTCTACATCTGCCCAAGTCTATTGGGATTGAGCTTGCCATCCTACATCTACCTGAAGTTGCAACGAAGTGTAAGTAGTATCAGTTGTATAAAATGTATGACATACGAACAATGTTGGTATGCTTGCAGGATAAGGTTGCCTTTGCCCAACAACTGCAACTGGTTCTCAATGGACACGCTGCAGTGCTGGCCATCCTGGACGTTGGATTGACCGTTTATGGGCTGCGTAGCGCCTATGTGCCCACCTGGACACTCATCTTCTACGTAATTCCCTTGGCCATTAACCTGCTGACCACTCTGCACGACCGCGGCTTCTCCTGGACTGGTGTGCTCAAGATATTCCAGGTCGTTCCGTTCCTGTACAATAGCTATTTGATTTACTGCTTCGTGGTGACTCTGATACCCATGATGGGTCGTTTCGGCAGGTGAGTGAGACTGTGGAGCATTGGCATAGAGACAGTAGTTATTAAATCTTCCAATTTTGCAGAGCAACCAACCCGGATTTGATTATATCGGCTTTGTGTGCCTTGGGAACCGTTTTGTCATTGGGTTTCGTGGTAAGTGAACTAAGCTTGCCACATAAGTCAACAGAATTAAGTAAATAGAGGTCCAAAAAGTCGACGAATTATTATTTGAAGCACTATCTAAAATACCCGTATTAATTCGATATTTGTGTTCATCTTAGATCCCCCTAGTTAACATGTTCCGACGCCCCAGCATGATCCTGCTCACCTTGTTGGCCATCAGTGCTGTGACCATGTACACGGCTTCCTCCACCCAGATTGGTTTCCCCTTCCGACCAAGGACCAACGTTCAGCGACTGCCCTACCTGGTTTGTAAGCCTAATTACTTTCAAGGATCGAAACTCACGTTCGTATCCTTTCACAGCATGTGCGACGAACCTTCTACGAATACGATGGCACGGTTGTGAAGGATGACTCCGGCTATCTGTTCAACTTCCAGGATCGCCGGGGACCAGCGCCCCTAAAGCTCTCCACGTTGAATATGACTGGACTGGTCAGCATTGCTGCGGACTGCGATACGGTTATGATGTGCGGATATCCTCTATATGATCACCGATGGGTGAAGAACCGTATGCAGATCATGTGGCTACCAAGAGAAGAGGAAATTGTGCCACCCAATGTGCCGAAACTTGAGCTTGTGGCCAAGACGGAGCTGGAAAACAATACAGTGCGCTTGGAATTCCAGGTGAACACTTCAGATCATGCCAGTATTTTCTTGCTGCCATATGAAGATGTTTCCATTGTGAACTGGAGCCTACCTACGAGTTACATTGGCCAGCAGTCGACCTCTCACCTTTATTTCTCATATGGCAAGGACAACTCGCCATTGGCTTTCTTTGTTGAATTTTATGTGAGTACCAGGTGAATCCACATGTGCATTTCAAGATAATCTCTACTTGTTTTTCACAGAAACTGGACAATGACTTTACAGTACCTTTGTGCCAGGTGGGAGTGTCTGACCATTTCATTAACGACAAAGGAGATGCAATAAGTCAAGCCTTTGCCCAGAAGATCCCATCATTTGCTGCCCCAGTTGATTGGCCAGCATCCTACCAACGTTACATTTTCTAAGGAACTCGATCTCGATTCCGTCAATAATTATATCGGATAAATATTGTTACCAATAATTATTAACAATAAAATGAACTGCTAAGCATTGAACTATGACTATATGCATTCTTAAAACTAATTTACGAGCGGTCTACATTTCAATTTCATATTCATATCATTCATTATCATTCAGGTATGTTTCATACAAGTTCATTTTGAACTTGAATTTTACGTTCCTGTTTTACATTTTGTCACTTTCTTTAATTTACTTAATGCACTAAGATTTCAATATAATGTGTGGAGTTGAAACTTACAAAAATGTCTTGCACATTTAGTTCTTGTGCTTACGCTGCCATTTAAGTTTTCATACAATTTTTCCTATAAAAACATTAGTCGTGAAATATAAATTATACAAAAATATAATTTTTATGTCTAGACAATGATGTTTGAATAGCGTTTATGCATATAATGCAAATTTTATGGAGCAAATTTATAGTATAAAGATTAAGTACTTTATTACCCAACGCGTGTTCCATATAAAAAATTTACGAACCCGTAACTTAAGTGTTGATAATTGATTTAACCAGCAATTAAGCGACTCGATTTCTTTTGGTAACAACTTAAGGTGCGTTGCCCTGGGTCTAAGTACGAACCATATCTTATCACCAAGATCTGTGTGAGAAATCGAATTCGCGTATTTTACCAGATAGTCATATCTTTTAATGGTTATTACACACATTAAAATCCGTCGACTATTCAAAAGCAGTTTAATTTTCATAAAGGAGGGAGATTTAAAAATTTTATTTAAAAAAACGAATATGAGAGATTAATTATAAAACATAAATTTAGCTTTACTTAAGAGAAATAAAGTACATATGTTCTGGACTTAAACCTATTTTGTTGTTATTAAGAAATATATGAAAAGAAAACACGCAAGAACGCTTTAGTCGAGTTCCTCGACTATCAGATACCTTTACTCAGTTCCTGGGAGTTCAAGGGAACTTAAATTTAGCTTTACTTAAGAGAAATAAAGTACATATGTTCTGGACTTAAACCTATTTTGTTGTTATTAAGAAATATATGAAAAGAAAACACGCAAGAACGCTTTAGTCGAGTTCCTCGACTATCAGATACCTTTACTCAGTTCCTGGGAGTTCAAGGGGAAACTTCAAATTTCTTTTGAAAGATAGATAAATACAATTGATCTCTACGAGTTATAGGTATTAACAAATTAAACGTATTGATACTACCTTAGCGACTCTCGCCATGCAAATGTTTTTTGTTTATTTGTGCTATAAATTTTCAAGATATGATTACAAAGTATTGATAATTTCTGGGATATAAAAGCGTCTAGCACAGAAACCAAGTCAGTCTTGTTTTGCCTCCCACTTTAAAGAAAGGCAGTGTCTGCAAATCGAAAAGATGGGTGACAAGCAAAAGCTTGTAAGTAATTAGGTAACTAACTTAGTTTCTGATTGCTAACTGATTTTCTAGATCCTAGACGAGCCCGTCGAGGAAGGAGTCAAATCATACCCTGGCAAACATGAAAGAAAGCACAAAAGATACTTCCAACTACCCTGGTACTTTGCGAGTGGCCTCGTCCTCTTCTGGGGACTGCTCTTTGTTGCCGTGGTGAAGCCGCTGTTCTATCGACTCCCCGAGCCGCTGACAGTGGAGGATGCCTCCAAAGAAGTATTTATTGCCGATCGCGCATATGCCAATCTGTATGATTTCGAGGCCATCGGCACCAAAGTGGTGGGGAGTTATGAAAACGAGCACAAGACCGTGCAGTTCCTGCTGAAAGAACTGAATCTGATTAAGGATAACATTCAAGAGGATCTCTTCGATATGGAGATTGACTTGCAGTATGCCTACGGGGCGTATGTGAAATGGAACCTGGTCAACATGTACCAAGGCATCCAGAACGTGGTGGTCAAGCTCACGCCCAAGAGCAGCACCAGTGAGAACTACATCCTGGTGAACAGCCACTTCGACTCCCAGCCCACCAGTCCCTCCACCGGAGACGACGGTCATATGGTGGTCTCCATATTGGAGGTGCTGCGAGTGATTTCGTCGTCGAGAATTCCATTCGAGCACCCCATTATCTTTCTGATCAACGGATCCGAGGAAAATTCACTGCAGGCATCGCACGGATTCATTGCTTACCACAAATGGGCTAAGAATTGCAAGTAAGCTTAAGAGTAGTTAGTTATATTGCTTATAGAATTTATGAAACCTATTTTCTACAAGGACGGTCATTAATCTGGATGCAGCTGGCAGTGGAGGTCGCGAACTGATGTTCCAATCTGGCCCGAACAACCCATGGTTGGTCAAGGTAATGCATTGCCAGCTACCCAAGAAACTATTTAGGTATCTAGCTGTCCGATTTGATATCTTGCAGATATATAAAGAGGGCGCCAAGCATTATTTCTCCACCACCATGGCTGAGGAGATCTTCCAAACGGGCCTTGTGCCCTCCTACACTGATTTCGACATTTTCGTGGAATACGGAAACCTCATTGGTGAGCTAGGCTAACTATTGATTCTTTGTTTGGATGCAACTAAGCAGACATACATGGCAGGTCTGGACATTGGCCAGTGCATCAATGGATTCGTCTACCATACCAAATATGATCGCATTGATGTGATTCCGCGGGCAGCTCTGCAGAACACTGGAGACAACCTTCTCGGTTTGGTTCGAACTCTGTCCAATGCCACCGAAATGCGCGATCTCAGCGTAGGTGCCTGTACTTTAGTTGAGACAACTCTTGTTAAAAAATGTTTCTGCTTTTATGCAGGCCAATCCGACTGGCAACACCATCTTTTTCGATGTCCTGGGCTTGTACCTCATCAGCTATTCAGCCGATGTCGGTGTAAAGCTGAATTATGGCGTGGCTGCAGCAGCAATAGTCCTGGTCTATATCTCCTTGCTGCGCATAGCGGACAAATCGAGTGTCAGCTCCGAACAGATCCTGAGCAGCTTCATCCTGGTTCTAGTGGTCCAGCTCATCGCCTTTGTGTTGGCCTTGGCCCTGCCCCTTTTGGTGGCGTATGGCCTGGACAAATATGGCTTTTCTCTTAGCTACTTCGCCACTCCGTCGCTCCTGCTGGGCTTGTATGTCTGCCCCAGTCTTCTGGGCCTACTGCTGCCCAGCTATATCTATCTGAAGTTGAAGAGTACTGTAAGTTCGTGTCATGGTTTTGTGCTTAGTGCTTGTAATGCTGAACATCCGAACAGGAAAAGGTGAGCTTCGCCCAACAAGTGCAACTGGCACTCCACGGACACGCCGCAGTGCTTTCCATTCTCTGCATTGCCATCAATTACTATGGATTGCGCACCACCTATGTCGTCACCTGGACACTGGTCTTCTACGTACTCCCACTGGCCTTCAATCTCCTTACCACCCTGCATGATCGTGGCTATTCCTGGTCTGGTATATTGAAAGTGGTCCAGGTTGCTCCGTTCATGTACAACAGCTACCTCTTCTACTGCTTCATTGTGATACTCACGCCAATGATGGGTCGCTTTGGATTGTAAGTGGTTTTGCACATGGAAGGGCTTAGTGACAAAGCTTTATTGCCATTGTAGGGACACCAATCCGGACTTGATCATTGGAGCTCTGACTGCCCTGGGCACCATACTGTCCATGGGATTTTTGGTAAGAATACCCGAACCATAAGTTATTTCATTATACCAAAAGTATTTAAACCATCCCTAGATATTACTGGTTAATATGTCCCGCCGATCCGGATTCGTTCTCTTCGGTCTGTTGGCCGTCACGGCCGCCGCTGTATATATTGCCAGTTCCACCGACATCGGATTCCCCTACCGCCCCAAGACCAACGTACAGCGAGTGCCCTACCTGGTTAGTAATAAACCTTTAATAGTTTTGAAAAAGTTACTGACATCGTGATCGTTTTCAGCAAGTGCGCCGCGTGTTCTACGAGTATGATGGAACAGTGAGCAAGGATGAGAGTGGATATCTGTTTAACTTCCAGGACCGTCGCGGAGTTACCCCGTTGCTGGAGTCCAATGTGGATCTCACTGGCCTGGTCAACATGACAGCCGACTGTGCCAAGTACATGATGTGCGGCATGCCCCTGTACGACCACCGATGGGTGGAGGCCATGGAGGATACCATGTGGCTGCCGCGAAAGAATCCCGTTTGGACACCAGATGAACCGATTCTAAAGCTACTTAACAAAACCCTCCAGGAGGATGGCACTACGGTTCGATTCGAGTTTGAGCTGCAGTCCCCGGATCACACCAGCATTTTCATTCAGCCCAACGAGGACGTGACCATCAGCAACTGGTCGTTCCTCCAGGAATACCTTACCACCAATTCACCTCCGTACCACATCTACTATTCCTTCGGAATCGATGATACTCCACTGCGCTTCTTCATCGATCTTGTGGTATACGCATATCACATTACCTATAAAATCGACATTTCATTTCTATTTATTTCCACAGAAATCCAATCGCGACTTCACTGTCCCACTTTTCCAGTTGGGCATCGCGGCGCAATACATGCACGTTAATGGCGATGATGAGGCCGTCAGATTTGCCAAATCCATCCCCGACTATGCCGTCACCATTCAGTGGCCAGCTTTCTATAAGAAATACCTATTTTAAAATGTATTCAAAGTTTACTAATTAAATGTTGCTCATGAAATAGTTTAAATCTTAGCTATTCCTTGTGCCTGTGCACATAAAAAAATGGGTGGGTGCTTTCCACAGCCATAAAAGCATTTAGTTAGTTCATCAGCAATTATAGGCCCTCATAAACGGCCTTTAGCGCCACTCGTTGCGAATTTGTGGGTGCTCAAGTGGTTAGCCATACAATCAGCAACAGCAATTGGGTTGTGGTGGGTCCAAAATCATAAAGATTCCTTATCGGCAAAACAAAAGGCGTGAGAAACTGCCGCAGACGTGTATATATATTAACATGATGTTTAAAAGGCCAAGATTCCAACGTCGTTGTTTGATTAGTTTCGGTGATTTCGATTTTAAATCAAAAGGATACAACTTATTGTAAAGAAAATATTATTAATTGTCAGGTAAATTTACATAGGTAGCACATATTAAAATGTAGTATGGCTCGCTGT